CACCTTCTTCTTCACCACATGCAAACAGGATTTGTTGCCTCAGATCAAGAGCATTCATCAAAAATGCCTGGGGTGACTCCTTTGGGCTCTGACATAGGGATGCCAGTGTTTGATAGAGTTCTGATGTATTCTTTGCACCATAGTGGCTACGGAGAATTTTCTTTAACCGATCCAATGTCAAATCTTCGTAAGTTTCGAGGTAACTCCTAAGTACCATGCCAGGTGTAATTGAGCGAATAACACCATCAACAATTTCACTCTCGCCATAACCTTGGGCCAACCCCATTTGAATTTGACGCATAAGGGAAGAAAAACTAATTTTGTCTTTCTGCTCGGGTTCCCCGATTTGACCACTGATCTTAAACTGTCTACGTAACGCGCTAGTCGCTAGTAGTTTTTGAACAGGATCTTCCTTCGCTACGGGAGGAGGTTTTGAATCACTTAGAACTGGCTTACCATCTTCTTCATCGTTCTTGATGCCATGGGGTTTCTCTGTCAGCATTTCTTTTACGTCCTTGAGGTACGGCACGACTTCGGCTTCCTTCAGTTTTTCAATTTCATCATCGAGCCGTAGAGCAACACGTTTCGCCACAAACAATTTTGTTTTTCCCTCATATTCAACTTTGAAGAACTTGGCCATTCGCTCGAGTGAGCTCCAGTCCGCGGCATAGATGCTAGACTGTAATTCCAATTGAAGATCTTCTGCCATCATCGGCAAGGCCTCAGTTCCGATGTTTCCGATTGACAATGGCGGGCAGTGGAAGCACGTGGTCAAAGCGATGAGAGACACAAATATGCTCAAAAACATACCAAAATCGATCGCCAGAAACGTTCCATCCAGTGTTTCATCTTCGTCGGGTTACAAGTCCTGGCAGGGTCGCCAATTTTGTTAGACTACACGCCTAAATCAACCACAAATTACTCCAAACTTCTAACTCTTTTAATACGTGTCGGTGGCGTTTTCCGCCATCTTGCGATTTCATCATCTTGGCTAGAGCCAGTCCTTTTCGATATTATTCTAACTAGTTCCAGTTCTCTACATTAATGCGCCAAAATAAAGGAAAGATCAAGCAGTCAAACAGTGCTTGTCCTGATTGGTCAATTGTTTATCTAGCTCAGCTCAAGAGCACTCGGTTCTTTTTAAGGTTAAAGGTTCTTTTGCGGTTCTTTTGAAGTTTAAGCAACTCCACCTTCGTTATTAAGAAAGCAAACAATGCCAAGTTTGTACGGTCAAACGACCAAACTTGGCATTGCTAGCTTTCTTAGTGGCTTATGCCCTTGTTGACAATGTACGGTGTTTTAGTGGCCGATAGACTGCGTAAAATCTTTCACAAGATATAAAAACTGCGGAAATTAACGAAGCTTGCAAGAAAATGATATCGAAGTGAAGGTAAAAGAAGTCGAACACTACCCCAACAACGTGTGTGATACTCCATAGCTGAAAACCGACCTTTAAATAAACAAACAAAGGAACGGATACAGCTCCTAACATTACATCCGCGAACGCCATATTTATAACCAGAAACAAGCTTTTCCGCTTTCGGAGCTCCTTCTCTACTGCCAAGAAAACAATTGTGACCAATATGACCAAGTTCCCCGTGACAATGAAGAGAGCTTCAAACAAAAGAGCGCTGCAAACTACTATTTCTTCCGCTCGAGACGGGAAATCCATATGCGCCGGTGATGAAAGTGAACTGAGGTTGTTGCTGTTGTTGGATCTCACGGTAGTTGACATATTTTTCATTTTAGTGCGAATTGAATCAGTTGTAGTCGTTGGTTGCAATTTATTTATAACCTAGAAGATTTGGAAAAAAAGTCTCACGTAAAAGACTTGCAAGGGTCAGCGCGGAATGAATCTGATAGGCGGCTTTTTGAAGAAGATTTACTGTGAAAGCTTTTGTTTGACTTCAATCCTGCTTTTTATGCACGCGCCTGCTGCTGACCCAGTCTGCAACTTTATCAGTAGGAACAGGTGCAATGCTCTGGGAAAGATTTACAAGTAATAAATGAAATGTTATTTCAGATGGATAAATGACCTGCCATTCAGCAAGTACACGAAAGAACCTTAACTTCAACTGTATTTATTATTATTATTTTATTGTTACCATTTTTCAAGAGGGTTCAACGTCGGTAGTTTGACTGAGCCGTTCGGATGTCCATTAAAACTTGTATAATACAGGTTTTATTTAAACACTTTTCTTGTGGAAAGTACATCACGTTTCTCTTTTAAAACATCGAAGCTCTCGGGAGACATATCCTTTGATAGACGCTTCGACGGCTGGTGCCAAGACGGCGGTGAAGGTTGAAAGCATCGCTTTACAGAATATTTTGAGTTTTGATCAGACGGCGTATTGTCTACAGACTGAGCTCTCCAAATAATAAACTGATCCATTTTGTCTACGAATGTAACGCCACCCCTACATAACACTAAAAAAATTACTGAAAACGATACGAGGTCACACTGCTGACCTCGTATCGTTTTCAGAAATTTTTATCACAGTTCAAAGTGGACAGACTGCAAATTATGGTAGTTGCTAAAAAAATTTATATCTACGTGTCGCAACTGTTCATCAGTAGGATGCCTTAAATGCGTGCAATTCCACAATTGGTTTCGGCTCCATTAAATCCTATACCAATTGCAGAACATTTTAGGAGGAGCCACCCGCCATGTGCGGACAGTCACGGACAACACATAAACTTAAGCCGGCCTTGCTGAATATTCGAAGCATTTAGCGACTCTCATAGCCTGCAAACTGTATTTCTTGCAGAAATCGTCGTTGAAGTGGACATGCTTTCCGCCATTTGGATTTCGCTATAATGCATAAATTATTTTCATTTGGCCGTTTTCTTACTACCGTGGGTGACAGAGACTTTTCTAGCGCGGTTTCCGGTTTCTGTCAAGTCTTTATAGTGACTTCGGCCTACGGCCGAAGATGTTTCGGCCTTCGGTCAACACCAAAAATTCCCGCCGCACGCGAGAAAAACCTCTGGGTCCCAGGGTATTTTCTTACATGAATTACCTTAATCAATCAACCAATCAAAATGACTGATAGGCCGGCTGATGCCAGGGTCTTTTCCCGCTGTCACAGCGTTTTGGGCATCCCCATTCCCATATCCATAGCGTTTTGGGCATCCCCTTCTCATATTACTGCAGCGTTTTGGGCATCCCCCGGTACCCCCCCGGGATGCCCAAATCCCTAGTGTTTTGGTCATCCCCTCCAAAACAATTTTATATTTCGCGGGAAAATCGAAAACCTTTTAGAGATGGATTCCGCTAAATATAGAAATCTTTTCCAGTATCTTAAAAATAAGGTTTACCCGGAAGGCTTCACAACGCAAGACAAAACGACTCTTCAAAAATTCGCCAAAAAGTTCGAGTATGACTCAAAATTAGAGTCCTTGTTCTACGTGGCCAAGGAGAAGGATGGCACAGCGCTTCGACGACTTGTTATCGCCGAGGAAGATAAAGCGAGGGTCTTCGAAGAGTGCCACTCTGCTCCTTTTTCTGGACACGCCGGCCGCGATAAGACCTGACTATCACTGCTTGCAGGATTTTATCCTAGACATGCCTTTCCCTTGCACTGCAGGTTTTTTTGGGGGGGAATTGTCACCCCACCTACCGTTATTTCTGATGATTTCAGGCCTCTGTAATTGTGTGACAGCCTTTCCTGTATCAAGTAGCGCTGCGGGGTTAAGTTGTACAGGCCTCAAATGTCATGAATACTAGGAATTCAACACCGCAAAACGCAGTTTTATTTATGTTTGCCTTTTGATTCCTTTGTTTAGTATTCTTGTTTTTGGCTGTTTGGAATCAGCTGCCGGCGATTGCGGCATTGTTTACTTGTAAACAGTTCTATTAAATAAAATTGAAAGCTTTGCAAACAATGAAGTGTTGTACATCGAAGCGATGCTTACAGTTATGCGGTTGTAAATTTCAGTTTCGTCATGTTTTGAGCCAACGTTTACTGCCTATGGGTTTTTTTTTCTGCGCACTTAACCCTGCGAAAAGTGTCAGACGATATAATTCTTAACATGCATCTACACTATTTAGCCGTAAATTCGTGATTAACAATCCCGACTTTTCCCCAGTCTGAAATAATTTAGGCAACTCGAAGCGATCAGCGTTTTAGGCATCCCCCACCGGGGATGCCCAAAACGCTAGGGATATGGGAATGGGGATGCCCAAAACGCTGTGACACCGCCCCACCTCCAAAGCCAAGGAAAAGCTCCCTGGGGACGAGGTTGCCACACCCACCGACGCGCAGTCATCATAGATTTTCCTAGAAACTTACCCCGGGGGTACTCCTGGGAATTCTTGGTGGGGGTGTGCCGCACGGTTCTCTAAATCCTGACCCTATTTCAGACCAAAAAATGTCATTTTTTACACCCATTTTCAGACCTGGCCTATTAAATTCTATACCAATTCTCACAACTGGCCTTTAAGACTTCATGTCATCATTACTTAGATTAGAACAGCAACAAAGACTGATTTCTTAAAATCCATTACGAATTCGCATGCTTCCTGCTTTCTTTCTAACTCATTTAGAATTGAAACATAAATACGTCGGTACACTCCCGCAGTTCCCTTGAAAAACGTGCCCAATTCCAGACTGAAATGAGCAAAGTCAGCAGCAAAAACCCTACCCTTTGAGGTGGCACATACTTATATGGCTTATATATGGGAGTACCCCCCCCCCCGGGAACTTTATCATGATTTAACCTTTAAAATGTTTAGCGCGCTACACTGCTATGGACTTTACACTCATATAACACAGAGCAGCGTAGCGATAGCATATTTCTTCCCATAACTTCGCATTTTGGAAAACCGGTCATGAGGTTATGCAAAATGGCCTCTGGCAAAGCGAAAAGCATCGATGAAATGAACATGGTGGAGATGTTTGGCACGATGCAGGCTCTTGGTGTATCGTTCGAGGGAGTGAATACGCTTGACGAGATGAGGTCTCGAGTGAGAACAGTGTTAAACGAGGCAGAGAAGACGTCGAGCTGGTCAGCCGGACAAGTACGGGTATTTTTTGTCAAATTTCAGAACGAACGAATTTTGGCCTGTTTTAAACAGCTTACACGGGAGCGCCATTTTGATCGCCGGAAGATGCGAGGGCAAGGCGTTCGCAGTTTATATTGCCATACCTAAGAAAATACAGAACAGGCCGTACATTTACAGTAGTGTTCATTTCATTTCATTTATATATTTTATTTATTTAGTCCCCCACAAGAAGCACAGGTTTACCCCTTTTGATCGTGCGAAATTAATATGAGGCTATGTTGAAGAACGGAGCATTTGGGGCACTTATTGTAATATGTTCCCTTATCGTGAGTCTTCCTGCGTTGTTTTACGAACAATTCTCGTCTAGGATGTACTTTTTCAAGGAAATAGAAACCTTTTAAGGAAATGTTTAGTATCTTCATCACGTGTTGAGCGAGAAATGAGGCTTAAAATAATTGCATGTAAAACCCGAAAGTCTTCCGCGCTACGCTTCATTGTTGACGTGACGAAACGAATAACAGCATCACGAACACAACTTAATCTTTGAGTTAAAGTCGCACTTCTTCGTCCGATTATTACGATCTAAAACTAGTAGTAATGATAGATTTATGACTGCGTTCGAGTTTTCTTAGCTCCAGGTAAGTTCCTATACCGTCAAGCATTATGTCAGAATATGGAAACTTAGATCATAAGTCTTTGTTAGA